CAGGCCTGAGGAGCTTGTGGCTACGTGAAGAGGGTATAGTGCACTTTAGGCCAAATTTCCCTTGAGTGTGAATACAATGCAATCCCTCTGGCTAAAGAACAATTGTGAAGAGAAGCACAACATGGCATTTTTTTACTTGCTCGAGGACAGGAATTCCCTTGGCTTTTCCGTTTTGCTTTTTTTTTCTTGTGCAAGTACTTGATTTGGAACAGTCACAGGCAAATTCAGGATGGAGATTCACCATGTGTGAAACTTCAGAAAATTGAATGTGCGAAGCTGTCAGTGAAGTGGAAGTGTGTTTCTTAGGACAAGCAGCATTTCCTGTAATCTCAGTTTGCTGTAAATAAATACTGCTCTATAAGATCCCTAGTCTTTTGTGAGATGGGGTACATTTGTCACCGAAGAGGCAGAAGCCTGTTCTGGTCGAGCCGATTCTTACGGTGATAAGGCTCCTCATTAAGTCCGTAAGGACAAACTGTATGCTCACAGCTCTCCAGTTATCCATGTCTCTGCAGAGGAATCATTGTGTTTCGTTTCAGATTGCACTGGCAGTAAATCCTCTGTGCTTTCTAACAAAAAGAGAATTGCCTCAAATCATTGGGAACTTTATCCTTTAAAACAGTTGTTACTCCGGCTGATGCTAAGATGATCAGCAGGTGTTATTTCTCATGCTGCCTGGAGAAATCTGTATGTAAACTTTGTAACTCAGCCTGAGGGTTATTAGCACTAATAGATAAACAATAATTTGGCATTTGGGGCATGATAACAAAACACTTTTTTCAAGTTAAACATTTAAACAGAAAAAGTGAAAAATATGCAGTCCTTAAAGAATGAGAACTAAATTTAGAGACAGACATTACTTATATATAGTGATCCCAGAGTTACTGTATCAGATCTCTCTTTATAGTTTCTTTAATGTATGCTTTCATGCTTTTGTTTTTCTTTAAGGAAGCATTAGGAGATGTTGTTTACTGTAGTCTTCCAGAAATTGGGACAAAATTGAGTAAACATGGTAAGTTTCAGATCTGATTTCTAATGAAGTAATTATTCTACTCATGCCACTCTTCCTTTGCAAAGATGTACTTTACGAAGTAATCTTTTTCTTCATTAATGCCATTATAGATCTTCTGGATGCAAAATAAATTCAGGTATTTCTACAAGCGACAGCTTTAATTTCAAATTCTCGCTGTCAGACCATGCATAGTAGCAGGAAGTACCTGCTTGTTAAACTGTGAAGACATTTATTTAAAAATCAAACATTTGAAATATATTTTTGTAATAATGTTATCTATACTCTGTTTTAAAAATATTTATGCTTTGATTTGGACTTGCTAGTGTTTAGGCTGGCTTATTGGTAATTCTGCAAGTTACGGATTTCATGAGTTGCATGATGTGAAACATCTAATTGATATCAAGCTCTAATTTTTCTATTAATATACAGACCCAGTAATTTTGGGGTATCAGCTGTAATCATAGGTTTTTGCTCACTGGTGACATATATAATGAATGATTAAGAATGTAACAATTTGTAATTTTCCACATTAGAGTGAGCATTAACAGGTAGAAAGGAAAAGCCTATTCCTGTGTTTACATGGAGAGCTGTCTCGCTAGTAGATGAAGAAAAGATCGCCATTAGCTTCAGACATTGCAGAACAAGAATGTAGATTTACTGAGGTAAAGTAGCAGGCCTTTCCTTTGCCATCCTCCTTGCGGAACAGGTCCGTATCGAACTGTTTTGGCCAAATCTGTTACATTGCATCGAATGGTGAATGTTAGACAAAAGGTTCTTTCTGTTTAGGGTTTTAATTAACCAACTTGTAGTTTTGTTGCATCTGAAGGAATTTCACTTCTATTTAGTTGTTCTCTTTTGTACCCATTCTGGCCTTAGTCTAATTCCAGGCTTTCCCAGAACATGTTGTTCTCTGATTCCTTGTGCTGATGCCTGTCTACTCTCTGACAGCTCCACATTCCCCCAGCCTCTGTCTTCTGTACTTGTAGCTTAGAGTTACTTTGGACTAACGTTGCTCCAGGCACCATTTCCATAACTGCCTACAAAACAGAAACCAGGGGAGAGCAGCTGGGTGATTCCAGTGCGGTGCTTCTGAAAACTAATATGTGTTTTCCAGTGAGTGCAAATATAACACTTGATAGTGTTTCTGAAGAAAAACTGGGATTCCTGAAATTGTGACTGTGTCTATTTTGTAACCAAATTATGTATAAAAAGGTTTAAATTGTAGATAAAAGGCATATTTATGTCTCTTGCAGCAAGAGCTGGATGTGGTTCCTTCTAACCCGATATGATATCGTATGTTATAGGGCTTTCACTGAAGGATTAGCCAAATGTAATAAACTTCTGTCTCTTCTGTAGTAGCCAACTAGCATTATGCAAGTTCTCCAGAATAATTCAGGAGCATAAACATCAAGTGATCAAGTTGGTGACTTCAATGTCGTTGACAGTTTTCCTTGCTCAAGATGAAGACATTTCTTCAATGCAATGGCTAGGTCATCACCAGAATGTCTGACTGAAAAAACTAAAGCGCTTTGTATTTTTCTCTTAAAAGCGTTCGATCGTATTCTGTGTTGCAGATGAGTTTGGAGCTTTGGAAAGTGTGAAAGCTGCTAGTGAACTCTACTCTCCTCTCTCGGGAGAAGTGACTGAGATTAATACTGCCCTTGCGGATAATCCAGGGCTCGTCAATAAATCTTGTTATCAAGATGGTAAGATACCATTTTTATCTTTCAATAATGAATGCCACCTGGACTCTTGCTATCACACATGGCTCTGCAGTTCCTAGTTCTTCCAGTTTAATGGTGTCAAGTCTTAAATGGAATATTTTGAATATAGTTCAACTCAATAAAATTTAACATGAAAGTATCATTGTAGTCTTGTCTTTGCTGACAGCTGTTTTACAAGGTGTTCTTTTCAGACATAGACTGTGGTTGACTTTAAATTCACTTCCCTTGATCACATTTCTCTTTTTTGATCTTGTAGCAGCTCACAATACTGAGAGGTCTCAGGCTCTTTTACTCTTTCTAGACAGCATCTCCTTAATGCCACTGTCAGAGACAGTACTACATTAGATAACTGGTCTGGCTAAAAAGGCTGTTTCTTATAATCAGTTATTTGTTCGTTGGTTTTTGTTAAAGTAAAGTACTGCAACATTGTTTTGTCTGCACAAGAAATCCTGTTGATTCTACCAGTGTTGCAGGGCTTGTATGCCTACTGGGAGTACTTCCTCACCTGAGTGAATCTTTCTTGTAAGATACTGGCAACTGGTTTTCTTTTTAATTTCCGAACTACAGGTTGGCTTATCAAGATGACTGTGGAAAACCCTGGAATGAGAATGCTTATGAGAAATACATAAAATCCATTGAGGACTGAGCTGGAATAATGAAATAAATCCATATAAAATACTTCAGTGTAGCTTGTCATCAATCAGTGAAGTACAGAACATCCAGTTCTGGCAACCTGAAAAATACGACTTACGATCACATATGCAAGGCCATAAATAATTGCAGTGATAAAAATGTTTAACATCTGCATACCTGTGAGGGTTTTTTATTCTATTGTGTGATTTATGTAACTTCAGATCATTATCTATAATATTTTCGGAAGCAAAATTTATTTGCTAACATATGCACTTCCTGAGATTGATTTGACATTTAAATTTACTAACAGCTGCCTTAATACGATAATTCTGTAGTAGGTACATAACTGTTCTCATAACCTGGACTACAGCTTTCCCTGAAATACTTTTCTGTTGCTCCCAAGATATTGAAAAGCAGCGTCTCTCTAATCTCCTAATATTTTTCCTAATTATAGTTGCAAAGATGATACCAAAAAAGGAGAAGCTGTATCAACTACCTATCTGCATGATTTTTACTTCTTCACAGAATTTATCAATCCTTGTTTTCCTTCTTCATTCTACTGTGTAATCAAATAGTTCTACCTTTGAGCCAGAAGGTATTGTCCTTGTCTTCTGATTTATATGCTTTCTCAGTGTGCGAAACTCATGCAGTGATAGTTTATCAAGGTTCTAGAGTGGCTTTTTATGGCTGTGTTTTTCATCTAGTAAACACTTCCTATGTCACAAGCAATTAAGGAATTCTACATACAATGGCCTAGCAGTTGTGGTGATACCAGAAGAGTAGATACTTGTGAAAACTGTGTGATCAGTAATAGACACACATGGATACATTATATGTCAGTCCCTGAGATCAAGTAGGCACGCTGCTGTAATGACATCACTGGAATGAAACTAAAACTTTCACTTTGCAAACCAGTAAATTAAATTAGATGGTTTCATTAGACTTAATATTTAATGAATCCACAACTGTGCACTCAAAGTTGATGTGACATCCAAGGGTAAGGTTGAGTTGTACAGACCTGCGCTTCAGGGAAATGTAATAGTACAGCAGAGATTTGGTTTGAAACTTTTTCCCACAGTTTTCAAAGAGTGATTAGAAGCGAAGCACCCAACAGGAATGAAAACCGAATATCTGTAAGTTGATCTAAGAGGAAGCAGGGGAATGCTTAATCCATAGAAGACAGCAAAGGCAAAATTCATATTCCTTTGGAAGTTCCTTCCCAAAGCACAGCCCTTTTAAAGGCCAGAAACGCACTGCAGGTTATACAGAAACCTTTCTAATGTATAAAAATGTAGGCTTTTCTTTTACGGGCTGAAGGCATGTCAAAATAATGGGTGTTTTTTTGAAATCCTAGGAGCTAATTTTTTTCTATACAAGTCACAGATAAAAGCCCTGCCAAGAGAGACTCCACTGTGTATTTAAGATAGTTTTATCTTCTCTGTAGGAAATGAACAAAAGGCTCCAGTAAACCTAGTGTAAATGCTTTAAAACTGTTAGTACTTACCCATTATTCACACTATCATGCAGTATTTATTGTGACAATGTTCAGGGCCCAGAGAGCTGGGAGCTTGGTCCTGGCCTCTTACAGACCCCCTGGGTCAGCTTGGATCTTTGACCTCCCTGTGCACTTTCCAAAGGGAAAGTTTGTTTCACATTAGAAGGAGCGCAGGTGAAATGAGATAGGAATGCATGAAAAAAATGTTTCAGTTTTATACTGTTTCTTCCACTGTATTTTTTCCAGCTTTACTAGAGAGTAATAGGCCCTTTATTCATTGCCATGTAATACGTGACCCTTGTGGATCTCCCTTTAAAGGTTAGTCCAGAGCATTGTAATGGATTTTTATACATTTTTTCCTTTACAGTGTTTATTCTTTCCTTTTGATCAATGAAATGCAAAACAATAATTTCTGTAAACCCCTAAGGAACGTGGGGAGTAGTAAAAACTGACAAATCTGCTCTCTTCCTCAAGCTTCGCTCTCATCTGTGTAGTAGCAGTGTTTATAAGGTTGCACATGAGTATGGATAAATGACAACTTTCTGGAGAAACCATCTGAAAGCAAGTTCAACCTTTCTTTCATGCTGTACAGTTGGAGAATGGATGTTTTTTTGCTTCAAGAGGAAGACCAGGAACCTGTCTTATTTTAGGGTTCCATATGACCTTAAAGTGATTTATTAAATTTCCCAGTTCCTCCTAAAATGGGAACAATGATGCTTAGGTGCTTTTCTTGTTTGGTTTATGCCAAGAGCTCTGGTGTTCTGCAGTGATTTAGGCCAAAGGATGTCTATTGGAGCAAGTATTTTTGTATCTTTCTACAATCCACTCAACTACCTGAATTATGCTGCCAGAAGAATGTATGCTTCCTTTTTGATGTACGTTACCCAAGCAGAGCTTGTAGCTTTCCAGTAATCCCATAATTTCACTACATTCAGCAGCAGCGGGAAACCTCAGGCAGACCACCCTGCAGTGGCTGGAGCCAGACTGTGAGAACATGAATGCAAAGCTTGCCAGCATGAACCCGTAATGAATGCCTTTCCTCAAATAAAGAGATGAAATAAAGGTGTATTTGCTTTGGTCTATGACACAATTTTAAATACTTTTGTATAAATCATAGGGGGAAACATCAAACTTGTTCACTGGTATGTGCTCCTACAGAAAATGAATAAAGGAGTTATTTTTTACAAAATAACCACTTCATCTGTGACCTCCTAAGTCTTGATCCTGAGCTTAAGAATGTAAGACTCATAATTACTGGATACTAAATATTATAGACTCAGCAGAGAGGTTGGTTTTACGGTAAATTATGATTTCCATACTTTTCCCCCAGCCAATAATTATGTCTCTGTATCTTCTAGAGGTTAATTATCACCTTTCTTCTTGACAACACTTCCTTTCTGTTCCACAAGTACCAACCCCCTTATCACTCAAATTATCTAACTGAATAATATAAGATGAACTTGGAACTAATTTTTTCAGTCCATACTTAGTTTTCTAATTTTTATTGGTCCTGAAAAGATTGCATACCTAAAATGTCTGGTTTTCAACCAATGAAGTGCTGCCTCTCCCTGTGAATCGTGACCCATCACGTATATAAATACAAATCATGTAATTGTTACTTCTCACCAGAGGGGAAAAATGACTGGTATAAAACTGAAAGAACAGAACTACGTAAATAATAACACTTGGTGGTGTCTTGATGAGCGTAAAATACAGGCAATGTCAACGTCACTGTCATTAAATTAGCAGTAAGCCAATTACCTAAGCAGCTCTGATGGTTAGGTTAGAAGTGCAGCAGATGATCTCAGTTTCTAATGCTCCCCTGAACTGGTGTCACCAGACAGCTGATGTCCTGCGGCCAAGGATCCTCTCTCTTTCTTCACGCTGACAGACTGGGAATTTACAATCTTCCTGTAGTAACTGCTCCCATAGCAGGGTTTTAATACGCCCAACTGACACATAAAGGGCATCACATCTATCTTCACGTCAGCCTAGTCATGTGGATGCCCAGAACTGCACCAGTAAATCAGTCAGGAATGATCCTCAGCTTCTCAATGAGCACGTGAGGCTTTTCTGTTGTGATGCTGGGAGGCATTCCACAGCAAGAGGCAAAGGGAACTGCACCACCTGTGCCGCACAGTTTGGAGCAGAGAAAGAAAACCTAAGAATAGCACATAACTGATTAATAACACGAGTTCTCCAGTGGGTTGGATGCTCCAGGTTTTCAGATGGCGACACGCCGATTTAAATAACTGCAAGTTCAAGAAATCCCCGCGTAATTTCCCCGCGCGGTGGCACTCCTCACAGTATGCCGGCACCGGGGGCAGGGGAAGGAGCGCGGCCACCCCGGTCCCCAGCGCAGTGCCCGAGTCAGCACCGGCACTGCAGTGACACCTTGGCTCTGGCGTCACCAACGCCCAAGGCCAACGGCAAGACCAGCAACAATACTGAGCACATCTTGCCTCTTTGGAAGGGGTTAAAGAACACTCCTCACAGCGCTGTATGTAGCAACGGAACTAACGTAAGCCTCATTTTATCGTACCCATCATCTTAGCGCCTTTCTTCTCCCCCAGCCTCCTCTCCCTTCTTCTTGCAGCACACCTGAAATCGGGCCTGGGGGCAAGGGGTGTGCGTAAACAGTCCAGAATTTTACCACGTTCCAAACACGGTGCCAGCCCTTAAGTCAATAGGAGCCTTTCAATAACAGAGCAGAGATGGACTGGGAGCTTTGGGAAAAACATTCTTCCACCAAAGTCATGGGTAAAAATGCTTTTACATTAACAAAGCTGCATCAGTCTTAGAGACCAGAAAAGCCATCTGCATAACACAGTGCCGTTTCTACAGACAAACATGTTTTAATGTGGTGAAATGCGACTGGACTGAGGCAAAACTGAACATCCTTCGGCAAGCTGTTTCCAGGGAATACGACCTCATGGAGATAAGACGATATTAAAAGACTCTTGAGCAACATCCATCAGTGTAAATTACCAGCAAGATAAGCTGCAGATGGCACAGACAAATTTTGAGAGCAGCTTAGGAGCATCCTCAATGTAATTTTCTCTACCTTCCCCAGACTACTTAAGACACAGTCTTAAGAGGAACAGTCCTTGGCAGGAGAATGTAGTCTGTGGTATCTGGATTGGTCAGTTTGCCTCACAATATTGCTATCCCTCTCTTCCTGACAAAGCATAATTTGGTCACTTCAGATGTGATCTATTTTAATGTAGTACAAGTGTCCTACATCCTCTGCTATTAGGCTGGTTTATTTGTCATTTGTTTATGGTGTTTAATTATTTATGCTATTGAATGCGTTTTGCTTAGAGATGTATTTTAATGGAGGTACAGCACTTGTACCTTTCTCTAACCATGAAAATCAATCCCCAAGATAGGAAGATGAGTCTGCACTTCTTAGGACTCTAAGAAGAATACTTCTGTTTTTCAGCCACCACCCCCTCCCTTCTTCGCTGCATGGGTCTGGATCAAGAGAAAATGACATAGAATTAAGTATTCTTGGCAACTCTTGCCTGTTCTGACAACCCCTCATTTGTGC